CGTTTCTTTGCAACATAATTGAAATTGTTACTTTTTAAGACATTCTTAAGAGTAAGTCTCAAGACCTGTAGGCCATACCACAGACAGAAGACTAGGGAGGTTTGTGTTGTCTCTTGGCTGGTCAAAATAATCACCATTCGACCACATGTGATGTGCAATGTTTAATTTATTCCTTGATGGCTTCGGTGATAGAGGTGTGCAAATGGCGGGTTTCAAGATTACCGCCGACCTCTTTTCTGACGCACACTTGTGTTCACTGAAGCCCTCAACTTTTTTTCCGTGTTGAAGCACCCATAATTCCCTTTTCACCGGCAGCTCGTGGTGTTAGCGTTTCTCCAACGGACGTAGTTTTGGAATTGGAGAGAACAAGAAAAATGTGGGTCACATTTATGAGAGTTTGTGCGCCTACTACTAGTTACACATCGGCTTTATGACGTGCGCAGTTGTGACCTCGCTTATTCTCTCCGTCGTGTTGCCACGGCCTCCTTGTAGGCTCGTTTAATTTCATCTCCTCCAGATTCGTATACTCCCTTTTTGACTTGTGTTTTAAGGTAGACATTTGTTGAAATTTGTGAATCGGTGTATCTACCGCCTCTTCGCTTGTCTTGCCTACAGATTCACTTCGTTTCTAACTTAACTTAACCGCGACTGATGTTGGCAATGTTGAGGGAGTTTGGCTGTGTGGTTAGTTGAATGACCCAGAGGTTATTGCTGCTCTCGCCTTAACGAACGATCTCATTGTGTCCTAATGCGTAGCCATCCATTGATTAAAAGAGGGGCATGGGCTGAAGGCCCATTGCTTCATCCCATCATTACGACTATTGGATTTTGTATCAGGCTATGAAATCTGCGCGTGCTTCACGAATGTACGCATTTACGAATAAATCATGCAAGTGCGTCTAATCTACCCTCTCATCTCTGGCAAATTAACTTGGCAGAACTCACAGCCAAGGTGTTGTGTCCACTCCTCAATAAATAGGTCTTTTTATGAAGTTCTAATGGCTTCGACGTACCTGATATAGTTGCCTGACATTTCCACTTCTCAGGACAGACTTCCTTTATTGCATCCATAAAAATAGGCGATGGGGAATAAGTGATCGCTGATTTCAGGGGTACATATTCTCTCACTTCTTTGACCTGCTTCATACTTTCATCTTCTTCTCCTCTAAACAGGTTGGACAGATAAAGCAGTCGTATAACCACCTTTCCTTGGCTCGATGCCTACCCAGCGAATATCGCGGTTTTCTGGAGCATATTGAATCCTGCTCCTACCCCGATCGTCCGGACTACGGAATGCTGCGTTCTCTCATCCAACAGGCCATAATTCGTCGCAATATCCGTGAATCTGATCCCTTCGACTGGGAGGCTGAGGTGGCAGTCGCCGAGCAGCCACCACCAAAACAGGCTCCAGTGAATAAAGAGGCCAAAGCAGCTGCTGTGGTTCCTCGTCCGAGCTACCTAGACACTGTCGGAGGTGCTGTGGAGGGTACCATGGCTGTTAGTGCTACAGCAAATGACGTCGCCCTTCCTGCTTGGTCTCGTGTTCAGCGTCTGGCCACTCGAGCTTCTGATCACTTCCTTGAATCGCTTGAAGACGGAAGAATGGTGGAGGATGCGGGACGGCATGCCTATGCATCAGGAGGGCTGAAGAATACCGCCGTAGGACAGTCGAATTCCTCTCGTGGAGCTGGTACAAAACATGGAGACACCAATGCAGTGGCACTAGCACCACGGGTGTCGAAGCAGAGTTTCGTGGAAACTGGCCGTCAACAGGGCCCGCGAACTCAACAGAAACCACCCAAAGTTGGTATCAATGAGGTGGGAGGTCGAGCTCACATCCCCTCTCTAAGAAATAAGTCTCGAGAGCACAATGTGGATGCGAGACATGCCCCTGCCAATAACAACAGCAATCATCATAATCATCGCCACAGAGATGAGTTTCCACGTGCCACTAGTCTTCCCCTTCCTGCTTCCTCACGCTATCGATCTACCTCAATTATCCCCAACCATCACCACCACCAACAACAACAACAACAACAGCGAAGAGTCCTCCTCGGTTCAACCTCTGACTTGGCGGACCGAAGTACTGGCGATGTCAGTGCAGAGTCGGTGGCGGGAGCGACGCATGCTCTGGCTCTCTCCATTGCCAATCAAGGAAAATATCCAGGAGGAAGTAGGGTGTGTCGTTTGAACAGCGGTTCCATGACTCAAATGGCAGGGTTAGGGTTGTCCTCCCAGGATCTCCCTTCCTTCGTTGGTGACGATGTTGGTGGCTGTGTTGGTGGTTGTGCAACTGGATTGGCTCAATCATCGGAAAACCACCAATCAGATGTGTTCGTCAAGGGCGTGTCGAAGCCTTCTCGACGTGTATCATCCGCATCTCTATCAGAGCAGCAGCAAAATGGCGGTGGAGGGGGTGGTGACCACACTCCAAAATCAGGATCGCCTTCACAACAGCAACAGTTACATCCATATCGGGAGAACCACCAAATGGGAAATTGGCGATCAGATAGGTTTCCTCGTCCTATACCGCGTTGTACAGGTGTTACAAGGGTTTCTTGTTCTCCGCCACGGCAACAGAAACAACTGCAGCAACAACAGCATTTTAATTCAGTACGACGTCGACGTTGTGACTCTCCTGCCCGGTGGAATTGTATTAATGGTAATAACACAGGCATTTCACCGACGTCAGCGTTGCAACAGTCAGTTTACGCCATGCGACGGCTGACTGGATCAGCAGTTCGCCGTTCAGCCAGTCATACAAAACTGGACAATGCCTGTGCTCGTCCCGATTCACCCTTCTGCTCCTGGTGTTCGTCCGGTCAGCAACCACCGATGGCGCCACCCTTTCAACACGGTGATATCGATTCGCCCTCACAGCCTCCACCACCGCCTTCAGTGTCAAATTTCTCCCGACCTGGAACGAGGTCCAGATCCTCCTCTAGGTCATCCATTCGACAGCAAAATATGCGGTCACCACGGGCTTTCCTACCACCTAACACCACCGCATCTATACCTGCTGACAAAATGACGACTAATTTGGATGAAAATTTGGATGAGAAAGGACTTACCGATGGAATGCTGATGATGCGGTTGGTGACAGGAAATGGATGTTCCAGTAACGGTTGTGGAGTAGGCACACCGTCTTCGATATCACCACGACCGCCCGAGTTACCGGTGTCACCGACGGGTCGAGGAGCAATGGCGGCGCGACGGAGGAAATATCGACCCAGAGGTAGTGCTGTGCCACCACCACCATCCTCACTGCTTGTGGGCAATTCAACCACCACCACGAGTGGAACTGCCCCCTCCCTGTTGTTTGTTCAGCCCACGCCTAGCCCCCCAGCAGTGATGGGAGCCGTGTCGCCAGCAGTAGCGGTGCAAACTATTCAACAGCAGCCGCCCTCCCCAAAAGTGGAGTGATGCGATGGTGATGCAGAGACCACGTCTTTCCAGTTGTTTGATTTGATTTGACTGTGTGTGTGTGGTTGTGTGTATGCCTGAGTGTAAAATACCCATCTATACAGCGTCTATACATATGCACGTGTCATCATTCAATTCCTTCTTCTTCTTCTCCTTCTTCTTCTTCTTCCTTCTCCTCCTCCTTCCTCTGAGCCCTTTCTATTGTGTACAGGCGATGCGAGATGCAACCAAGTGTGTAGTTTGGTGTGGTATGTGGTGTGTACTCCCCGCGTCCCTTCACGCCCTCCTTCCTCCCCCTTTCTGTCTTATTGCTTCTTACTAGTGTACCATCCTTTTCATCTTGGTTTTATTATTATTACTATTATTATTACTACTACTACGAGTATTGCTGCTGATGTCACTGCTGCTACCGCTGCTGTGGAGACGGCGACAATTTTCATTGGTCTGCCTGTGCCCAGAGGTACGTGCTTGTGAGTTCGTGTGTTCGAAGATCTGACTGTGGAAAGGTGTTGCATCTTTCCTTCTCATTGATGAGACAATCAAAAAATACAAAGTCAGAAATAAATTATTTCTTTTGCAAGTCCATCTCCTATCATTGTTGCACTGATTCCTTTGAAGTTGGCATTGGAAATTAAGGGAAGGATGATGGGGACTTCAAATGGGTTCCAGTCTCAGGTGAGTAGTGCCTTGAAAGGACTTTCTATTGGAAATTCGAGAGGAGCCCTGATGGTTCATTGTACTGTTTTGGGATGAAAAGATCTTCCGTTATTATTATTATTTTTTTGTTTCACTAACCTTGGGGTGAGTTGGGAGAGCTGAATTCTTTTGTGTGTCGCAGTGATCCTGAATTTGGCAAACTGACGACAAGTCTTGACGCAACGAGGTGGTGGTTGACTCACCCAGGGGTTGGCCAACGTGAATGCTCAACGTTTATACCTCTTGAAGAGGAGTGTGGAACCGGGATTGACATCAAGTAACTTTTTTTATCATCGGAGGCGAGGATCCACAGCGGATGGGAAGGGTTGAGACGTGAGTGCGCAGTGGGCATTGTTTCCACTC